AAATTACGGAAGGATAAGAAGACACTTTCTCATATTCATATTCATCTTCATCTCTTGAATAATATTTTTCTGGACGTTTTGAAGGAGGTTTGAGCACTTGTTTTATGGTTGAAATTAGAGTAATTGTGTATGACTAAAAGTCTAATAAGCAAATTGCATCTGAAGCAACAATTATACTCCCATCGTTTGACATAAGGTGAATCCTTAAAAGATCACCTGACTGTATTTAAGGAGATAGTCGCTGATTTGAAAACTTTGGAAGTAAAGTATGATGAAGAAGATTCTAATTCGTTTTCTTCATTTAGAGACACAATCTTGTATAGTTGTGATACTCTCACCATAGATGAGGTATATGATACTTTGTTTTCAAATGAGAAGATGAAACATTTGGTTTCTAAGGCCAGATATGAAGAATGTCTGGTTGCTCATGGTGGTTCTAGTGGGGCAGATCATAATCTAAGTTCAGTAATTAGATTTGTAACTACTGCGAGAAGATGGGGCACATTAAGAATGATTGCTACAAATTGCAGAATAAAGCAAAATTAGCTGTAAATTGGAATGGTAAGCAATCAGATACATCAGGCAAAGCAGACGTCTGTTTCTGAAGTCGACTCTAAACCTAATGATGATTGAATTCTGGATTCAGCATGTGTGTTTCATATATATCCTAATAAGGACTTGTTTATTATATATGAAATAGTTTCCAAATGTGTAGTAGTTATGGGAAACAACACACCTTGTCGGATTGCTGGAATTGGTAAGGTCAGATTGAAGCTAAAGCATGGGACAATTAGAACATTTGGCTAGGTTCGACATGTTCTTGATTTGAAAAAGAATCTTATCTCACTGTCTATCCTTGATTCAAAGGGTTATGAGTTTTTTAGTCGAGGTGGATCATTGAAGGTTTGTAAGAGTACCCAAGTTGTATTAGAGGGACTAAAAATGTCTCAGTTATACATCTTGCAGGGTCGTACAAAATCTAGAAAAGTCAATTAGCACAAGTTCAGTACCATGGTGGATATTTAGTTTGGTACAATACCTTTAGTTTTTTGTATGAGGTCGGATTTGAAGAATACTACTCAATTGAGTTCAGAGGTTATGGATAATGTCACTTTGCCACATCACCTGCGGTATCATTGTATTCAATTGTTAAGGATAGATCCAGTGGATAGAGGTATTTGGATGTTGATTTTGTTGTGCATGCTTTAAGCGTAGTAGAAGGTGTACAATCTAGTAAGGGACTTTCTGTAAAAGCTTTTAAGATTGATTTTGTTTCAGGGTGTGTTATAATCTTGGTTGGTAAATTTTAAAATATTTATGATTTTTTCTGAAACTGATGTAATTTTACAGAGTAATGTTTGGATTTATTGGAAGAAGAGTATTTTGTGTTTGTTAGAGAAATCAGTTTTTGTTATTATTGAAGAGTTCAGTTCTTCCTTGCACACGGATTTTCTTCTCAAAGTGGAGAAAATTTTGGAATTTTGTTCATTGCAGTGGAATTTGTGTCAAGGTGGAAATTGTTAGAATTTGAGTGTGATCCAAATTCTTTGTTGAAGTAATTGAAGAATTCTAATTGGAGTGCACGTCAAGAGGAATTCAATTTGAAATGCTATTGGAGTCTTATTCAAGTTGAAATTCTATTTGGAAGTCCTATTGAAAGTTTTGCTTGGGAAATGACTTTGAAATGAAGAAAACATCTTGAAGGGTTTTGAAAATATACAAAAGTTTAGCCTCAGTGATTACTATAATTTTAGATCAATTTTATATTTCTCCATTATTGTTCATGAGTGAATCAAGTCTCCAAATTCCTCTACCATATTTCTTGTCTTTTATTATTCTTTTACTTACAATCATATACTTCATATTTTGCCACACAATTTCGATATTTCAATCCTAAATTACACAAGTGGATTGCAGAAATACATAATTCTTAACAAGTGGTATCATAACAATCCTGTTGGTCCTCAATAGTTCCCAATTTATTCACTAGTCATGGACTATTATTTTAGAATGTGCATAATAAGTTATATATTCCGTATATAAACTGTTTTAATTAGTACATAATTTAATGTGTCAAGCATTAACCCAAGGGGGTCACTGATATATTTGGATGTCAAAAGTGTTAGGTTATTCATCTATGATTTATGGTACTTGTACATAAAAATGGTACATAATAGGTTACAATAAAATGATGTGTAGGGAAAAGATTAGATGAAAAAGTTGACCGTATTTTAAACTAGCAAACGGTAAAATGTTATGTGACATTATGTAATCATTTTTTAAATCTTTATGTACATGTAGCAAGGCCCTTCATCTATACACTTATTATCAACATTTTAAGTGACATTTAGATGAAATTAATTGATTTGAAATCTTAATTTCCATTTTAAATGTATGATTTAAGAAGATAAATCAATTAATGCCAACCAACAGGGGCGGACCCATCACCTAGCCAGCCCCTGCGGCCGCCCGTGCTTGGGTCCGCCGTGACCTTGAAGTTCCGCCGGGAAGAATGGAGCAGGCAGTCGGTGGTTCAAGGTTTTTTTTTTCCTCCTGGTTTTTGTTTTGGTGAGTTATCAATGGTTTGGGCCATTTTCTGATATGCCAGTAGTAGTCGGTAGTCATGTTCGATTTTACAGTTGCAGAGGCGAAATTAGGGAAGTGGAAGAAAGAAGCTGAGGAAGATGGATGGCAACTGGGTTATTTTTAGTTTGGGCCCTTGATGAGTGATGGACCTCTTTTATTTAAAAACCTTAGGCCCAACCATATATCTTTGATTACCCAATATCCACAATAAAT